GCGGGCAGCCCTCCTTCTGCGAAGAGCACGCTCTGGGCATGGTGCTGACCTAGCCTCAGGAGTCGTGGTCCCTTCCAGACGTTATAAACCAGTTTCAGGAAACTAAGTGGCACATTGAACCTCAAAAACTTGTCCCTGAGAGCTTCTAGGGGAATCGTCTCGTAATACTTGGAAAAATCAGCCACAATTAAAACGCTGTGTTTATTCTGCTCGGCATCGCTCTCGCAGCGCGCTGCCTGGAGCCAAGCGCAATCCACTGCTGACCGTCCCTTCGACGCCCCCCAGTAACGACGATCGACCAGACGACTAACTGCAGTCAGCAGTGGGCGCCTTAGTCTTTGCCAGACTCGGTACATTCCAGCATACAGCACGATGAGACGGTTTCCCCCCTTGGGTTTCGGGAGCATAGGTTGAACAACCCATAAAAGCTGACGAGGGAGCAGCCCGATGGCCTCGCAGGCCTGCCACAAAGCACTTAAAACCTCGAGTCCTGAATCATCCAGGGCCAAAACGAAACGCGGGTGAAAGTGGTCGAGACTGCTGGAGGTGCTGCGCGAAAAAGTGCGTCCTACCTCGCGGATCGCTGCAACAGAAACTCGTTCACAAGACGACCGATCAGGGATCCACGCCCGAGGAGCCTCCGACGTCGCACCCCAGAGTTTCTTATACAGCGAAACCTCGTTTTGCACAATACTGATGGTGTCCGCGGAAGGCCCATTCGGTCCTTGCACTATCGTAGCCGCTCGGACCTGGCGGACAGCAGTGATCTTATGAAAGCCTCGCGACCCTGCAGCTCGTGCTGCCACGCACCAGTCGTGCCGCGAGTCTCTCTGCTCTTTGCTTTCTCCTTTAGCGGCAAGCTCTACGTCTGAGTCTATGTCATCTAAAAAACTTTGCAGCGCTTCTGGGTCTATCTCTTCAGCATTGACTAAACCTCTCGCAACCTGAACGGACCTCTCTAGTCGAGCACTCAATCCCAGGCCTGGGAACTCGTCGACTAAAAAGCTTGAGACCTCTTGTGCAAGCATCATCTGATTTTGGGCCGTGTCGGCCACGCGGGAAAACACAAGGACCTGACCAACAGCATTTTGGAGCCACTTCCAGCCGTCGGCGACAGCTTGCAGATCACTGGAGGTCTTGGCCGTGCAGCAAACTTCGACCCAACGCGCTTTTAAACATCGCCCAAAGGCCCCTGGATTCTTTAAAGGCTGCCCTGCCCTCTCCCCAAGGTACCTGGCCGCTGTGGTGGCGAAACGACCCCAAGCATTCGAAAGCATGGCCCAGGCCTCACTCGGAGCAACCGCGGGATCCGAAGCGGCCTCACAGGCTTTCTCGGCTAAACGCTGCTCGACGAACCAAGTGGGTGGTTGAGGGGCAGGGCCTATCGGGAACTCTTTGGGCAGCGCTGGGGTGACTGAATACACGAGATGCTTGAGCTTATACCCGTTGTCAGAGATGGCAAGACGGATAGGCCGATGTGGCTTAACCGTCCAGCGCATATCAACTGTTAGCTTCTTAAATCCCCTCATTAACGTATCATTCAAACAGTAAAAATCAATGATGCTGGAACCTGTCCCTCCTCGACACGTAGGCACCGCAGGCGCCGGCACACACAAATCCGCCAGGACGGGGAACTCAGACGCCTCCAACGCTTCAGGGGTCAGGTTCCAGTCGCCTGCACAGAGCGCAGGTCCTGATATCGTTTGCATCATACTGCCTAGTTCAGCTAGGATGTTGGCATTAGGCCCACTGGGGCCTACCTGCGGGTGGAGGTAGATGTTGAACACCGTGATGGAGGGCCAGCCTGGTAGATCGACCTCGACTCGTTGTAGTCGGCCTGGAAAAAGACACTCGACTCCAGCTGCAGGTGGTCGCAGCCCGACTCCTGTCCGCACAAATACTGCAACACCAGCTCCAGTGTTGTGACCAGCCGTAGTCTTCGACGAAAGAGCTCGCATTGACCAGCCTCGTGTAGCACACCAGGAGTCAAGAGCTTCAAGATCCGCTTCGAGATGTCCAATCTCTTGCATCAAAATCACTTTCGCCGAACTCTTCTCGAGCCTCTTCTTCACTGTTCGTTTGCCGCCATTGGCGTTGAACGATTCGAACTCATGGTACGTGTCGTCGTGTTCTGCAGCTGCTGCAGGAGCTGTCCCATGATGCGATAACTTGAAACCACTCACTCGGGGAATATCAAACTTGGGATCGCGCGCTTGCGGATCCGCATCACCATTGACTTTGCACTCCGATTTCATCGTTCTCGAGGATGCCAATGCCGTAGAGCTTGTGGCCCTCGTAGCAGAAGACGAACAGGTGGGCCTTCCCTCCAGCGATTCCCTAGGCTGGGTTCCCTCTCCTCGCCCACTGCAAGCCTTGACCTGCAGCTGCGTTGGGGGTGCCGTCCAGCCTAGAGTCTCAGCTTTCTCAGGGGCAGGCCGCAACGTGGAAGACGGGGATGCCGTAGCACTGCTGGACGCCGAAGTCGAACTCCTGCCCGACAGACTCCATAGCCATCTCCTCAAGCAGCAATCGTTAGGAACTGGAACTGACCTTTGCGCGCTTGACGGAGAACTCAGCGAGCTTTTGTCGAAACTGCTCTTTGTCTCCTGCCAGTGAGAACAATATCTCGTGCTCGGGCTCGGTGAGATCCTCGTACATACGCTTCTCGCCTGCAGCTTGCCCGTCATCACCTGGCTCATCTGTAGCTGCATTCTCAGAAGACTTAATATCATCACCATCAGCATCAATATCCATCTTTGTTGGCAACTTAGAGGCCCTCTGCGTGAGTAGATTCTGGAGCAACTTCCATTCTGGGCTCTCGAGGAAGGGGATGAGTTCTTTGGGAACCTCATCTGGCTCTGATCCGAAATCGAAGAGCTGCGACAAATCAGGCGTCTTCTTCGCATCATCGGTCGAGGTCGTGACATGCTTAGCCGTCTCAGCAAACTCGACCTCCAGCGCTTCCACTTCCTTTTGCTTCGCCGCAATCTCATCCTGTCTCTTTGCAATCGACTCACGTATTCCTTCCAACTGCTTATGCTTCTCACTGAGCTCATCTTGCATTTTCTGCAACGCGGTGCGTGCCCAACTGAGGTCTTGCGCTGCCCGTCTGTGTGCAGTAGTCGGGGAACGTAGCTGCTTGTGCTGGCTGCGCAGAACCTTGAGCCGCTCCTCAATCGGGGACTTGATACTGTCATTGCCATCGCTGCACCTGAGTCTCTTGAGCACATCTTCCAACTCGTAGATCTCTTGCATGATGGCGTCACGCTTGGCACTGGGGTCCACCTTGTCCTCAGACTGTGTATCTGTGCCACCTGCAGGCCCCGCCGCATGCCATGGCGGCTTGCCTCCTGTGCCTGAGGACTTGGACTTGGGTGCTGCACCCGGCGCCACTGTCGTGGTTCCTGCCTGCACAGCCTTGAGCACCTGCGCCAGCTGACTCTCGAGCCGCTGGAGCTTGGAGGAGGAAGGAAGGAGGGAAGGAGGGAGGGAGGAGGGAGGGAGGGAGGAGGGGAGACCTCGCGGTCCCCCCCTCTCTCGTCGTCGTCGTCGCCCTCCTCCTCCTCCTTCTCCTCCTTCTCCTCCTTCTCCTCCTCCTCCTCCTCCTCCTCCTCCTCCTCCTCCTCGTGAGCAAAACTTGTCGGTCGCAGCGCACAGTGTGGTCGAAGCCGACGCGGGGACGCTGCAGGGCGAAGTGTGCACGAGCGGGCGGGGGGGCAGAGGAGGGCTGCCGCGGCGGGGCAAAGGGAGGAGGGCGGCAACGGCCAGGTATAGGTCCTCCGCGGGGTGTCTCACGACGACGACGACGACGACGACGACGACGACGACGACGACGACGACGACGACGACGACGACGACGAGAGACGGGTGTTGTTCAGTCATTACGTAAGCGTTGCTGCTAGCCAAGATCTGCTGAATCCGCCACCGTAGCCCGCGGCAGAATGCCAAGTGCTGCCTGGTAGGGTTCCTGCGATCTGCTCGAAGGCCCCCCCTCCTGTCACGCGCTGTGGCATGCATCGCCCCCCTCTCTCCCGAGGCTCCCTCGGCGGCCAGACGCTTTCCTTGGGCTTCCAGACGGCCAAGAAGGCCACCAGGGTCGCCAAGATGGCCCACCACTACTTCACGAGGCACGTCACGCCCCTAAGAAGCGACCAACAGGCACCACGAGGCGCCAAGGCAACCCCACGACGCTCGCCAGGAGAGTTTCGAGAGGCCAATTACAGTGGTACTCCTTCAACCGATGTTTCAGTACTTCTCGCTTTGCACACTTTGTGGCCGAAGATCGGTCCACTTGCGGTCTTCGAGGGCCGAAATGGGCACACTGAGAACACCAAACGGGCCCCTAGTCAGCCCGGCACAGGCCCAATCGGGCCCCAAGGCGGTCCAAGAGAACCCCAAAGGGGGCCCACAGACGCCCCACGATAGCTCCTCAGGATGTGGAGGCGAGATGTGGCGCATGTGTCGGCCTTCTGGGCGGTGCCCGAAGAATCGGCACACAAGGTCCTTCGCTAGCACGGTGGCGGATCTGCACCGGGCGCCCGGATTCGAAACGTGAGAGCAGACCCCCAAAGAAGCAGTGATGGGGGAGCGCGCCATCCGAGATGAGACAACTCCGCCACTGCACCCGACTCGATTGCCTTTCTGGCCGCGGTCCAGGTCTCATCAAGCCGATTTGGGCACCAACGACGTTGCCTTGAAGTTCTCGCCCAGGCCTGGCTGCAGTTTACAGGAGCGCCCTACAATGGCCACCAACTGTGTAAGCGTGACGCGTAGCAGCGGTCTGATATTCAGGAAGGCGACGACGAGGGCGAAGGACGACGACGGCTCCACGCCTCAAGATCGGCCCCTGGACCTGTTCCAGGGTGTGCTCTGACCAGGACCGCGAGGCTTATCCAGCCGTGGCGACGACGAGCCGCGCGGAAACTTACGCAGGACGAGCAACACGCAACACACATCGATCCTCGAACCTCGATGCCCGCGTGTCCAGAGCGGGGCACCTCGAGGCGCTCGCGGTACTCTTCCGTCTTGGCGATTACGAGCTCGTTCTTGGACCGCTGGGTCTTCTGCGAGGCCGCCTCCCGGAAGCGCTCCCACTCGGCCTGCTGCTCGTCCCACCTCGCACGGGCCACCACCCGCGAGTCTGTCATCCGCGCGAGCGGCCCACACATCAAAAAGCGGGCAGACCCGAAACAGCGCGCATACCGAGGGGAAGCCTCGACGCAGGCCTCGGTCTTCGGCCGCCAGCTTCGGAAAAAAAAGGCAAGCCCGCCCCCAGCCACCCACGTGCGTGTTGGAGCAAAGCCGCGCATCTGTGGGTGGGCTTCTTGAGAGAGGCCCTGGAACGACCCGCCTCTCCCGAACAAGTACATCGCTCGCTTTCGCCAAGGACTCCTCCAACAAGGCCCCTCCTCCAAGAAATATGAAGACCTCGGTTGGCGATTATTGAAGGAAGATGTCTATTGCCAGAGGGCGGCAGAGGCAGCCAAGAAGCTACGGCGGGTTCACTTCGCGATGACGTCAGCATTGGTGCGTTGGCTGCTGCCGCCGCGTGGATCGCCAAACCACGAACGATCGCAACTTTCCGACAGCGCAGGCCGTTCCTCATTGGCTCATTCTGGGCCGCTGACGACGTTCCGTGCACCTCGAGTTCGGTCGGGCATGTCCCCCGATAGGCGGATTTTGGACGAAAGATCGAGAATGCCAAGCACGTGCTCAAACATCATCAAGCAACACTAGAAACATCGTCCCCGGACCATGTTTGAACATTCCTCCTGTAGAGGGACATGCCCGACATACACCTCGAGCGCCCGCGCAAGGGCCGCCGCCGGGCCCGGCGCGCGGCGCGGAAAGCTGCCGCGGCGAGAGACGGCCCCGTGCTCCCCCAGAGGGTCGGGCCAGGCGAGAGGGGGGATAGCAAAGGGGGGGGGGGTGAGAATCAGCTCACGTAGCCGATTTTCCCGGCACCGGAGGCGGCTATGTATCGAGCGGTGGGGCCGAAACTTGCTGCATGCAGCAGATTTCGTACAGGAGGAGGCGGAGGAGGCGGAGGAGGCGGAGGAGGCGGAGGAGGCGGAGGAGGCGGAGGAGGCGGAGGAGGCGGAGGAGGAGGAGGAGGAGGAGGAGGAGGAGGAGGAAGAGGAGGAGGAGGACCCCTCCCTCTCCCAATCCCCCCCCTTTCGTCCGGCCCGAGAGGGGGCCCGCGCCTCGCCAGGGCCCGCTCCTGCTTGGTGGCGACGATGCGCTCGCCTCGCGGGCGCGGGGCGCGGTCGGACGGCGGCAGGCGTCCTGGCACGGCTGGCCTCTGCCCGTGCCCAGGATTATGTCGGGCGTGTCCCCCTGCATGGGGATTTTCGACGAAAAATAAAGGATACCCCAAAAATACACCAAAACGGGAAAAAATACTCAAACAATGGTCCCTGGACTATTTTTTGATTCTTTTTGGGGTATTTTTGGTTTTTCATCGAAAATCCCCCTGTAGGGGGGGGACAGGCCCGACTTAAGCCCAGGATCCGTCGGGAGTCCCCTCCACGGAGAGAGCAGTCGCAGCCCGCGGTGCACGGGCTCCGCTCACCAGGGTGGCGCGTCGACGGGACGAGCAGAGGGAGTACGGCGAGCGACGCGTTCGAGCTTGCGGTCGGGAACGTTTCGTTAGGGTATCGCGCCGCCGGTTCGGCACCCTCCTCCTCCTCCTCCTCCCCCTCCTCCTCCTCCTCCTCCACCTCCCCAGACAGGGCCGTGGATGAGGGAGGAGGAGGAGGAGGAGGAGGAGGAGGAGGAGGAGGAGGAGGAGGAGGGAGGAGGGGAGGGGAGGGAGGGAGGGAGGGAGGGAGGGAGGAGGAGGAGGAGGAGGAGGAGGAGGAGGAGGAGAGGAGGAGGAGGAAGGAGAGGGGAGGGGGAGGAGGAGGGGGAGGGAGGAGGAGGAGGAGGAGGAGGGGGTTTGCCCACCACGCTTCGGCACAACATGCGAACCGAGCCTTGGACGCCAGGCGTCAGAAGCACGGAGGCGGCGCTGGAGCGCCGGAGACGCGCTGGTTCCCTGCTGCCCGAGAGCACGATAGCCACAGAGCTTCGGCCACGGACAGCGTTGAAGCGACTGCCAGCGGAATTCCGCAGGACGCGACCACAGAGGAGCAGACAGCTGCACGAACATCAGCTCTCGGCCTCTGCGCACCTCCCTCCGTGCCCCTCCCTGCGCTGGCCAGGGGAAGAACCAGCGGCATGAACATAAACTCTCGAATCTCTGGGCGGATTTCTTGGATCGGCGCTGGGCCTCTCTGGCGGCGCCTCCGGCGCCGCCCCTGGCGCGCTCCGCGCGCCAGGGAGGGGGGTCCAGCTCGGATCCAAGAAATCCGCGCGGACCTCCAGAAGTTCTCGTTGTTGCACTTTTCCCGTCTTCGACTCCGTGCCGATGCCGGCGCATGTGGGGGGCAGCCGGCGGGGTCCTCCAGAGCCTCACGGGCGGCGAACGACTCTGGGGCGCGATCCCGTGGACACGCGGCCGCACGGGAACGCTCCGCGCGGGACACCCGCGAAGAGACGCCCCGTATATCCGCGGGGTCGCGGCCCAGGGGCCCAGCCCGCGAGGCCGTGGACGCGGATAGTTACATCGCCCACTGGAGCGCGAGCAGGCGGGTCGCCCCCTTGCTGTCTCAGTTATGCCTCGAGATCGAGCGGCCAAGTATCACCGACGAACGCCGCGTCTAGGGGAACAAAAAGTGGCATACACATAAAAACTCGGAGGTCCGCGCGGGCTTCTCGGATCGGCGCTGGACCCCCCTCCCTGGCGCGCGGAGCGCGCCAGGGGCGGCACCGGAGGCGCCGCCAGGGGGCCCGAGCGCCGATCCGAGAAATCCGCGCGGACCTCCGAGTTTTTATGTTTATGTCGTTCTTCGTTTCCCAATTATCGCATACTGGCATGACCCACGTACCAAGATGGGTCAGTGGCGCCGGTGAGCGCCACGGCCCCGCCAATCACACGAGTCGGTCTCGCCGACGATCGCAGTGTCCCCGAAGTCGTTGTCGTTCTGACCTACGATGTGCCGCGTGACTGTGAGGATTAGGCCTACGCTGTGAGTTGCCCTGTCCACCGCCCCAAACTTCCAAACGTAGAGCGCAAATATACGGTGCGCTCCAAACATGATCAACCTGACCTCGCAAATCCAACTTGGTTTTGGGCCCTCGGGATTGTATGAGCGGAGCGCTGCTGAGGGTGGCGCTCGGATGTGATTAAGCATTGGACGTACCAGAACGTTCCTTAATTGCCATTCGCTACAGGATTCGCATCGTGATGCGAGAACGACCGAAGAAGAATCCCGCAGGGTGGGCGCTGGCAGCCGTTTTACCTTAGGCTTCCTCGCAATTCTTCAGGAATCGTGCTCTCGCCTCAATTCCAGCTACATTTTTGGTCCGGACGGCCACCATCCCTTAGAAAAGACATTAGGGTGCACATGGCCGTGCTCTCACCGCTGTCCCGGCTGCACTTGTCTTTCTCAAGGCTTTTTCCAGCCGGCTACAGACGCCATGTTCACCTTTGCCTTCATTAGGGTGCTTTGCTGTAGTAGTGGAATTTGGAGCTTGGACGTCCCGCAAATTTAGAGGGTGGCGCTCCGAGACCATGATTCGCCCAATACCTCTTGAGCCTCCATCACTTGTAGATGTAGCATGGCTGGTTGCACCATAGGGCCAATTCCAGATCCTCGGCGGCCGACTGACGCGTGCGGGTGACATTCTGCCAAGCATCGCGCCGGGGCCTCTTTCCCAGAACGTCGATCACATGTCCGCGCGCAGTAACACCGCGCCAGCACGCACAATTCTCTGAGCTTCGATGCCCGCTGGGCGTGTGAGGGTAAGTTGAGCAGGGACCGACCGTCCCGGCATTCCTATAGTCCTACCACGAAATGTTCTTAGACCCCAACAATGGTCTAAGAACAGAAACGATGTTTTTAGAACCTGAGCCCCATGTGTTAGACAATATCCGCCAGGCATGTTCTAAGAACATTTCGTGGAAACCACAAAAGGTTCCTAGAACATTCTTTGGTAGGGCTATAGCCGGCGGTGGACAAACCTCCCTTTAGTAAACCTCCCCTTAGTGAAAACGGCCTGGGACCGAAATCGACAGACCTGGACCCGCAAACATGACGGCCGCGATGCTCTCTCGCGAACCGAAAACGGCCAATTTCTTAATCGACGTGTCAGGGTAGGAGGTCTATCCACCTCCGATATAGGCGAGCTAGGACGCTTCGCCACTGCTTGGGGTAAGGGTGGCGGCCTGGGAGCCCAGACTGCACCGGCACAGGGCACGACCTCTGGAGCGTCGGGGTGCTTTTGCCTCGTGGGGGCTGCGCGTCTGGGGGCGGAGGTCGCGAGCGCCTCCCGCGCGGCATCTCCACTTCGGGGAGAGCCAGGGCGGCCAAGGAGCAGACTGGAGGGGCCTCACGAGAGGAGGTGGAGGATGCTGCTGGGAGGAGGGAAGAGGGTGAAGGAGGAAGATGAGATCGTTGGCGTTTCAGTGGGGGGGATGGACAAGACGTGCAGAGGAGGACCTCAGGGGGCTTACACCGAGGTGTATCGCGTCCAGCGAAGCTTAACGATAAATAAAGCACATCACGGGTTCCCACGTGCACCGTTGCCCCTGAGGTGCCGAATAGAGCCATAACAGAACTACGGTGAGGGCATTGGATAAGGAACCAGTGGATGAGGAATCTAGGCTCTAGGCTCTCGAAACCATTGGAGCTTCGCTCGTGGAACGGGGCCATGGATATCACCGACGCCTTCATTGGATAAGGAAGACCCCATGGTCTGAAGCCTCCTGGGCACATTCTTTAGCCAACGCCCCCACCGTAGTTGGGGAAACGAAAGGGTACCGACACCGCCACTCCCCAGACCTCTCCTGGGGTGCGTTCTGACAGGAATTTCGGGGCGAACCCAGCTGTGGCGACGAGGGCCTCCGAGGAGGCCCAGAAAGGCGGTAACGAGGAAAGGGTAGAGGTGGGGTACCCTTTCCTCCCCTGAGTAGTGCTTCGCAGACCTGGCGCACGCTCCTCCAGCGGCGCCTGCGACGCTTCGGCATAGCTCGAAGCTTGCGCGGCCGAGCAGAGCACTGCGTGCGCCGTGCGCTCGGGCACGGCGTCGTCGCCGTCGCCAAGGCGTCGTCGTCGTCGTCGTTGCCGTCGTCGTCGTCGGCGGCGTCGTCGTCGTCGTCGTCGGCGGCATCGGCGTCGTCGTCGGCGGCGGCGTCGGCGTCGACGGCGGCAGCGGAGTCGGCGGCGGAGTCGGCGGCGGAATCGTCGTCGACGTCGTCGTCCTCATCGTCCTCGTCGTCGTCGTCTTCGTCGTCGCAACCCCAGGCGGGCCCTTCCCCGCGGGCACTGCCGTCGCCCCGCCCAGGCACCGCCAGTGGGGGGCACCAAGAGGAGAGGCGCCACCGGGAAGCCCCTCTCGCTCGCAGAAGGACAGATTTCTGAGGCACCAGAGTGAACTCTCCGACCCCGCAGTCGGCCCGTCGGGGAGTCGGCCACCCGGCCAGTCGGCCAGCCAGAGTCGGCCAGGGAAGGGGGGGGGGGGGGAGGGGGAGGGGGAGAGAGGGAGGGTGAGGGGGAGGGGGAGGGGGGGGTGGGAGGAGGGGGAGGGGGTGGGGGGGGGGGGGGGGGGGGAGTCGGATAGTCAAGCCGGGTGCCCCAGAAAACTTGCCACATGCTCGAGACGGGCCCCGGCCGCCGAGCAGCGCCAGGGCCCCTCCAGGGGCTGCCCACGGGCTGAGGGGAGACGACCATCCTTGTCGAAAACATCGACTCATGGGAGACGCCCACAGGCTGGGGGGGGGACCGGCTCATGGGGGGAAAGCATCGGGCTGGAAGCAACGACGCATCGCCGATAGATTGGCGATAGGGCTCCGACAGTGAGTCAGCACGCTCCTGGGCAGGGTGGGCTATCGGGCCCCAATCGGGGAGTTCGGCAGAAGAACGGCACGACATGTTCTCACCGCGAGGTGCGTCACTATTATCCGCCACCGTGCCCCGGGCACGAAGTGGAGTGCGCCGAGGCTCAGAGCTGTGCCGCCGCTGCTGCTGCTGCTCCTGCCGCCGCTGCCGCCGCCGCCGCCGCCGCTGCTGCTGCTGTTGCAGCCAGGATTCTGAATTATTAGGGGCACATCCCCCCCGCTTCCCGTGCGCTCTTGGGCGCTCATGGGAACTTCCGGGAGCTCTTGGGGTGAGTGGCGTGTGTTCTCTGGAGGCCAGGAGGGCCCCAAAACAGGCCAGGACACCCAAAGGAGGCCACCCAGACGGTCCAAGAGGGCCCAGACGCTCCATGATCGCTCCCAGACGCCCAAGATGGCCTCAAGACGGTCCCCAAGAAGCTCCCAAGAGGCCTCAAAAGCACCCCCAAGAGGGCCCCAAATGCCAAAATCATCGATGTTGTCATGGATTTTGACAGATTTTAGCCTTCCCGCTGTTATCAGCGTTCAACGTTCCAAGGCGGACAAAGAAACCTCCAATAGCGCCCCAGGACTGCCCACAAGGCCCCCATCAGGAACGAAGCACCTCTGGGGCCCCAGCTGCGCCCAGGTGCGCGATGACGGCAGCGGAAGACCCGCGGGCCCCTGGAAGGACCTGAGATACATCGGGCCCCTCCCGAGGCCAAGGTGGACCTTGCAGAAAGTTTGACTGAAGGTGGTACCCCCCCCCCGTCAGGGTCCCATAAGCGGGGACTCGGATAAACTGGGGCATCGTCACGCCTACGACATCTGCAGCAGCGGGTTGAGACATGATTCCCTATTCGCTCCGTGTCGCTGCATCGTTCCACGTCCTGGCCTGCAGAGTCCTGGCTTGCTCAGCCCTGACCCCTTGATGGCTGCACGCAAGAAGTGGCCCTCGTCAAGAGTGACCACTTGTGCGCGGCTCAGACGAGGACGAGGACTAGGAGGAGGAGAAGGAGGAGGAGGACTAGGAGGAGGACGAGGACGAGGAGGACGAGGAGGACGAGGTGGACGAGGACGAGGTGGACGAGGAGGAGGAGGAGGAGGAGGAGGAGGAGCAACAGGGGGGCCGCCACGGGTGGGACAAGCCGAGGCGCGCAGGCCAGAGCCGAGGGGGGCCCGCGTGGGCCCGCGCCAACGGTCGCTCCGACGGAGGGTGCATCTTTGAAGGGGCCTTGGGACACACAAATAAATACGCACAAATAAAGATATTCCCCATATTTGGTTATATTTGCTGGGTTTTCGTCGTCCGCCCCATTTCCCATATTTTCAATTTTTTTGCGGGAGTCGACCATTAATTGTGTCTGTGTGTTTCTTTCCCTCCTGAATCTTACGCGGAGCCGACCTTTGCGCTGAAGGCGGCAACCCCCTTGGCACTGCCCGACCCCCCTCCCAGTATAGAAGGCAGAACATCCACCCCGACAACAGGCACCCCGACAAGCGAAGCCGTTCAGTAAACGCACCCAAGGAGGGAATCGAAGAGGGTGGGGTTGTTTAGTAAACGCCCCAGGCCGTTTAGTAAACGCCAATTGCCAGGGTCTGGGTGCTTTTTCCCCATTGACAGTAGAGGCATCCGAAGTGGGGCCCGAGCAGGCGGGGTCGGAGGATCGCGCCGCACTGCCGTTGCGTCGGCGACGTGGGGGTGGACACCAGGCTCCGAATCAAAGCCGCACCGCCGAGATGCATCGGCGATGCGGCGCGATCCTCCGACCCCGTCTTCGGAGCAGGGCAAAATTGAGACCACGGCAGCTCAAACTCTGACCCTGGACACCCGCCCGGGGCCCGGCCGCACCAGCTTTCCGAGCGGCGCCCGGCCGCGGCGACGAGGGCCTGCCGCCGAAGCTCGACCACACCTCTTCGCCTCCGCCCGCCCTCCTTCGGGGGCGCTCAAGCATGGATTAGCGATCCATGGATTTGGCGCGCGGTCGGCAGATCCATGGATCCTCCCCAACATGCGGCCGGTGCCGCCGCGTTCGGCGGCGGAAATCCACGATTTCCCATAGCAACGGGGCCCGTCGCTAACCCACGCCCCCTTAATCCATGCTTGTGATCGCCTGACTCCTCTGGACATCTGCTCCAGCCCCACTTAGGATCCCTTCGGGGATCCTCTGACCCGGGTCAATCCAGACCCGGGTCAGCAGGAAACCAACAAACAGCAACGCAAGGCAAAAAAAAACTGCAACGCAGGTCTTCGCAAACCCGGGTCAGCCAATATGCGCGGCCGCCTCGCGGCCACGAGCGGCTCGCTAACCTGGGTCAGCCAGAGGGGGTCTTCGCAGGATCCTGCAGGATCCGGTGCTCTGGCTGACCCCTGTTTGCATTGACCCCCGTCTCCTGAGCCCCGAGCCCTGGTCCCCTGGGGGGCGCCGGTCTCCTAGCGTGCGCTTCTGTGCCTCCGCAGGCCCGCTGTCCGCCAGCTGCACGCTCTTCCGCGGCGCGGCGCTGCCCGCGGCGCCCGCCTTCGCCGACGCCTTCAGGGCCGAGCGCTGCGGCGCCGAGCTCCCCGGCAGCCTCCGCGGGGCGGCTTCGAGGCGCCGCCGCCAGTTGTTCCTACACTTCCCTGGCCGAGACATCTCGCACGGGAATCGGTTCTGGCAGGGCTGTCGAGGGGAACGCGAAGCGTCAAGACTTCCTCCACCTCCCCGCCCCCCTCCCCCCTTCCACAATTACTCAATATGAAAATACTCTCCCTCTTCCCCTGATGGCGTCCGGGTGATGGCCGCGCATTCTCCGCGTACTGTTTTTTAACACACAGGATGCGGGAAATCCCGGGAAACGACTCTCGCTGAGGCGCTGGCGTCATTTTCGGGCCGAACGCCCCCCGCGTACTGCTTTTTACACACAGGATTCCCGGGAAACGGGTTTTCGCTTGCGTTTTTTGTTTTAAATGATGCTCTCGCTGAGGCGCCGGCCTCATTTCTGCTCCCGAATCGTTCCGAATCGTGCTCCCGCTGCAGCGTGGGCCTCATTTTCGGATCGGTGTTTGGCCTCCGTCGTTCAGGATGGCGTTCTCGCCCCAGCGCGGGCCTCTTTCTCGCGCGCCCATCCGCCCGCCACCACCGCGCCGCACCGCCACCACCACCACCACCACCACCACCACCACCACACAACCACCACCAGCACCACCACCACCACCACCACCACCACCACCACCACCACCACCACCACCACCACCACCACTACCACCACCACCACCACCACCACCACCACGACAACCACACACACACGCACGCACGCACGCACGTGCACCACCACCCACTACGCACGCGCGCGCGGAGCCACAGGTCCGCTACGACACGCGTCAGCGGATAGAGAAAATCAGCGCCATGGTAAGGGATGGGAGGGAGGGGTAGGACGTCAGATATGACGCGAGCGCACCTAGCTTGCCCCTCACCCCCTCCCCCTCTCCCCCCCCTCTCGACTCCCCCTCTCGCCTCCCCCCTCCCCCCCTCCCCCCTCTCCCCCCACCTCCCCCTCTCCTCACTCCTCCTCCTCATCCTCCCCTTCCTCGCCCTCCTCCTCTCATCAGCAGCGCAGCAGCAGCCAGCATCAGCAACAGCAACAGCAACAGCATCAGCATCAGCATCAGCATCCAGCATCAGCATCATCATCATCATCATTCATTCCGCATTTCATCATCATCATATCATCATCAATCATCATCATCATCAACATGTTCCTCATGTTCACTCCTCCTATCCTCCTCCTCCTCATCCTCCTCATCATCATCATCATCAATCATCATCATCATCATCATCCCACATTATCCTCATGTTCCTCCTGTTCCTCCTCCTCCCCCTCCTCCTCCTCCTCCCCCTCCTCCCTCTCCTGCTCTCCTGATCGACTCCACCACAACAACAGGCATCATCACCCACAAGAGGACAATGTCACTGAGCACGCCTGAACAGGCGAGGTCCTCGGTCCCCGGCGCGACGCCCCCCCCCCCCCCGCCACCCCTTGAGAAGGGCGCCCCTCCGACCCCCAGACCGCGACTCACGCGGACGAGGATTCTCTTCCTGCCCCCGCTGCGGGTTCGGCCTGAGTCGACGAAAGAATACGGTTGATACAGTGGAGGCCCGACCACAAGAAACCTTCCAAAAGAAACCCAACCCTGAGACCCCAGGACGTCCCTGGACTTTTGGAGCGGAAACGTCACGCCTTCCACAGCAAAGCCATCGAAACCCATGAAATCCAGGGCACCCTGGAGGCAAGCAGCATGTTTCTACGTAGGCAGGGGCCCCCACTGTACCCAGCGGCAGGTGTGTGCACCCCGCAGCAGCCGCCCGACAGCGGCTGCCGTTGGGCGGGCGGCGTCTGCCCCAGACAAACGAAAGGCCGCGGCGGAGGAGGAGGGGGAGGAGGAGGAGGAGGAGGAGGAGGAGGAGAGGAGGAGGAGGCAGGAGGAGGAGGAGGAGGAGGAGGAGGAGGAGGAGGAGGAGGACGAGGAGGAGGAGGAGGAAGAGGAGGAGGAAGAGGAGGAGGAGGAGGAGGCGCAGGGACCGCTGCCGGTCCTCGTCCCCGCCATTTCCGTCCCCTTTGCCGATCCCTCCCAGCGGGGCCCTCCAGCTGGGCCCCTCGGCCGACACGCAGGCGTGGCCCCTGGGCAAGAGAGACCTGTGGTGCGCGACGCTAGCATTAGGGCGAGCATGTCCCCCATGCAGGCGGCTTTTGGAGGACAAAAATTAAAGAATACTCGAAACATGTGGAAAATAGCCAAACAATGGTCGAACAATCGTCCCCTGACTTTTTTCTTATGTATATATATATATATATGTGTGTGTGTGTGTGTGTGTGTGTGTGTGTGTGTGTGTGTGTGTGCAAACACATTGTTTTGAATGTTCCTCCTGTGGAGGGACACGCCCGACTTAACACTACTGCAATGGGCGTGCTGCGCCCTGGCCCGGCCCCCGTGCGCAGCCCCACCCCCCAGACGCCCTCCGGGGTGACGTCTTTGATTCCTGGCCCCGGAGTCCCGACCTCCGCCCTATAGGGGCAGTTTTGCCTGGGGCGCGCAGACATGGATCAGCGAGCGTTTTTCATTCGGCGTTTCGACATTGGGCGGAAAGGGGGGGGAGGGGGGGGGTCTGGCTCCGGACCTCTGCTTAGTGCGACTGTTTGCAGCACTGGGTCCTATGAGGGGAGGCTCCATCTGCTCGAAGCAGGCGCCCAAAACAGCGAAGATCTACTCCTTGGGGGGGGGGGAGGGAGGGTTTGGGGGCCCGCGCCGATCGGCAAAACAATGAATAACAAATGCGGCCGGTGCCGCCTCGCTCGGCGGCGGAAATCCGCGATTCCCTATGGAAACGGGGCCCGTCGCGAATCCACGCCCCCTTCATCCCTGTTTCTGCGATCGCCTGCTCTTGTGCCCCGGATCCATTTCTTGATGGCCCAGCGGCCACAGAAGCGCCGCCCGAGGCCTCCAGGAAGCACACGCCTGGACTCCACGGATCCTGCCGTCGGAGCGCGGGGGCCCGAGAGAGCCGTGCACCAAAGAGGTCCCTCCTGCAAAGGCCCGCTCTAGAGGCCTCCTAGATGGGGTCCGAGTAGATAGGGTCTACTTCCTCCTCCTCCTGCTGCTCCTCCTCCTCCTCCTCCTCCTCCCCCTCCTCCTCCTCCTCCTCCTCCTCCTCCTCCTCCTCCTCCTCCTTCTCCTGCCTCCTCCTCCTCCTCCTCCTCGCGCCGCATCGCCGATGCATCGGCGATGCATCGGATCGCCGATGCATCGGCGACGTCGACGTGAAGCACATCGGGCTCCGCATCGAGCCGCATCGCCGATGCATCAGCGATGCGGCGCGATCCTCGGACCCCGTCTACTCCGACCCCGTCTAGGAGGCCGAGACTTCGGTCGGGCATGCCCCCCTACAGGCGTGTTTTGCACGAAGAGTGAAATATATCAAAACATATTCACAAGTAGCAAACGAATACAAAAAAAACGTCCCGTGACCATCTTTGGACTATTTTTGAATATTCCTCCTGACGCGACTTAGACGCCCGACTTAAGCCCAGACTTAAGTCGGGCCTGTCCCCCTGCAGGGGGATTTTCGACGAAAAAAAAAACCCAAAATAATCAAAACATAATCCAAACATAGTCGGGGGACTATTTTCTACTATGTTTAACCTTTTTGGGATATTTTATGTTTTTCGTCGAAAATCCCCCTGTAGGGGGACACGCCCGACATAAGCCCAGACGCTCCGGCCCGCGGGCACGGCGGGCTGGCCGCGGATGCAGCAGAAGCTGCTCCTCCAGGGGGGAGGGGAGGAGGAGGAGGGAGGAGGAGGAGGAGGAGGAGGAGGAGGAGGAGGAGGGAGGAGGAGGAGGAGGAGGAGGGAGGAGGAGGAGGAGGAGGAGGAGGAGGAGGAGGAGGAGGAGGAGGAGGAGGAGGAGGAGCGCGGCCCGGGGCCCGTCGTGCGCCCCACGCCATGTGCGGGGCCCGCCCGCGGGGACCCGGCGACTGCGAGGCCGAGCGAAGGCCCCCCCCCCCACCAGGGGCCGATCGCGGAGGCGCCCCGAGGCTGCGCCGCCAGGGGTGGGCGTCCCTGACATCCTCCTCCTCGCTCCTCCTCCTCCTCCTCCGCTCTCTCCTCCTCCTCCTCCTCCTCCTCTCCTCCCCTCCTCCTCCTCCCTCCTCCTCCTCCTCCTCGCTCCCTCTCCTCCTCCGCCTCCTCTCTCCTCCTCCTCCCTCGCTCCTCCTCCTCGCTCCTCCTCCTCGCTCCTCCTCCTCCTCTCCTCCTCCTCCTCCTCCTCCTCCTCCTCCTCCTCCTCCTCCTCCTCGCTCCTCCTCCTGGCCCAAGCCGTCCCCGGGCTTCTGGGAGGCCCCCTGCGCGCCCCCATGAGATACTGGCGTGGCCCGGACGTTTGCGTTCAGCCTCGGGCCCCAGGACCGTCCCGTCCATCACAGACTGATCCGGCCGGGAGACTGGCGCAAAGAGATTGGGCCCAGGGCTCCGGACGCGATGTTTCGCCCTCGAGCAATCGAGGGCTTGGCTTCTCTTCCTCGGCAGAAGGCGGCGGGAGGGCGGCGGACGTGCTGCGAGGCCGGCGGAAGCAAACCTTGCGTCCCGCAGCGATGGCAATCTTGTTGAGTTCGAGTTTTTTCTGAAGCCCGCCACAACGCACCCTCGTGACTCCGCAACGACACGAGAAACTGGGAACGCCCCGGGCCAGGAACACCTTTGGCAACCCGGCTCATTGTTCCTCACAGCCGGCTCATTTTTCCTCAAAGCCTTGGAGGCCTGGAAATGGGCACCACCACCAGCACAGGGGGTTTGCCTCCACATGGGGAAGATGATCCTAAATTTCGGTGCTGATGATAATATTTCGGTCACCTTGGAAGCCAGAATATTACCACCATCACCGAGATCGGGATCGTCTTCCCTCGGTGGAGGCACACCGCCGATCTTGGTGCTGGCGTCAACCTCCAGGCCTGCGAAAGCCGACCCTCCGACCTCCCCTGGGCCGCCGTCTGGCCAGAAGTTCGCACTGGGATCCAGCCGCGGCGACGAGGAGCTCCCCAGAGGGCCCCCAAACAGCCGGAAGCAAACGCACGGAAACATGGACCCACCCTTCGATCCTGAGCAGAAGACCTCGACTGTAACCACGATCCTCGATCAATCCTCGACCCTCGACCCGATCCTCGACCCTCGACTCTATCGTCGACCCACTCCTCGACCCTCGATCCGCGAAGCCGCGCGCCTCGACTCGATCCCCGATCTCCGATCCTCGAGCTTTCGGAACGCCCCTCTGGCGGCCGCGGCAGCGTGGGCGGCTCCGCGTCCTCTCGGCCCGGGCTGGCGGAGAGGGGAGAGGATGGCAGAGAGGAGGGGGAGGAGGAGGAGGAGGAGGAGGAGGAGGAGGAGGAGGAGGAGGAGGAGGAGGAGGAGGAGGAAGGAGGAGTTGGAGGAGGAGGAGGAGGAGGAAGAGGAGGAGGAGGGGGAGGAGGGGACCAGCCAGGGACGCATCGAGCTGGAATCGGCGACGCACCGCCAATCGATCGGCGGTGGGCCCCCGAGAGCGAATACAGTTCTCTGGTGTATTCCCAACTGATTCAGACATGTTCAGTGGTACGTCCATGTTATAAACCCCAAACCGCTTTTGGACTATGTTGTAACTATTTTTGGGTATTTTTTATGTTTCGTCGAAACTCCCCCTGTAGGGGGACAGGCCCGACTTAACCCTGGCGCTCGCAGCGCGCCAGGGGCGGCGCCAGAGACGCCGCTCGGCATGTTCAGTGGTACGTTATGTTGCTTTTATGCTACTCTGATATCCACTCCCACTGGCTGGAATGTTAGCGATTGGCATGGCTCCTCAATGGAACCCGCTAAGCAGTGGCTACAATAAACGTCTGCATGTACGCGCGTGTGCGCCCGACCCGAAGGAGAAGGGAGGACGCGCGCTCTTTTGTGACACTTTCGGCGGCGACGATAGGGGCGAATAGCCCAGGGGCGGGCATTACACGCATTCGCCCGGGAGCCTCTCCGAAGACACGGATCATCGGCGCACCTGGCTGCATGGATTGCTCTCCCCTGGGCTATTCGCCCCTGTCGTCGCCTCCGACACTTCTGTGCCACACGACGACCCACGGCGACGACAAACCATTCGACGGCAGCAAGGCGGCGGCGGTGAGAGCGGGCAGGGACGGACCCGCGTGAACCAGTATCCGCACGCTCGTGGGCGGGGCGGGCTATCGGGCCCCTGTCTGCGATTGGGGGTTTTATTCTCCTCCTCCTCCTCCTTCTCCTCCTCCTTCTCCTTCTCCCCCTCCTCCTCCTCCTTCTCCTTCTCCTCCTTCTCCTTCTCCTTCTCCTTCTCCTCCTTCTCCTTCTCCTTCTCCTTCTCCCCCTCCTCCTCCTCCTCCCCCCTGCACCTACCATCAGGTCGGGCTTGTCCCCCCTACAGGGGGATTTTGAGCGACAAATAGAGCATACTCAAAAAATACCCCCCCAGTGGGCAAACATAGTCAAAAGAACGTCCCCTAACTATTTTTGTTGACTATTTTTGAATATTCCTCCTGTAGAGGGACAGGCCCGACTTCAACCTACCACCCCCTATCGTTGCCCCTGATGCAGCATAGGGGGGGGGAGGGGCCAATCAGCCACACATTCGGCAAGTTCGTGTGGTGACAACTTCGGCGCTCGTTTCTGACATCGCGTGGATCGCTCACTCACCATCACTCGGACATCCATTCCCCATGCATTTCTCGTTTTCCTGCGTGCTTTTTCTTCGATGATCCAGGATGCTCCTCGATGGTCCTCGCCGAGATAAAATGCACACTTCCGAGCGATGCCAAATTCAAGCTTGAACGATCGACGCCACATCGTTCCGCCTTGGACCGTTCTCGGCCACCGGCGGTGTTCAGCCTTGATCGCCCGCAGCGGGTCGCCCCCGCGCCGACGCGAGACGAGCCTGACTGAACCTGTTCTCCCTGCGCCGGGAGGTGGGGCAGCAGACTCCGCCCCCCCGCCTTCTAAGACGAAGCTAAGACGAGGATGAAATCGGGTACGGATGAATCGAGAATCTGTGAGATCCGGCGGCTCTGGAGGATGTATCGGGCGCCGCGGGGCGTTCAGAAACGCACTGGAAACGCTCTGCAATGCTCTGGAACGGATTTCTCCTCGTCCTAGCCCCGCCCGACATTCCCCAATTCATGCGAAACAGCAATGCACCGGTCCCGAAACTAACCGGGCTTCCAAGTCGAACCCAGCCTTTGCGACGAGGGAGCTCCAGGAAGCCCGCCAAGACAGCAACGACGGACGGGACGCAACATCAGTGTTTTTCTGCTCTGACACCCCTACGACCCAAATCCCCTCAATCTCTCCCAGGACCCTCCCACGGGTGCATAGTCCATCCAAGTACTTGTGTTCGCCCCGTCTCGACTTCTGATAGCCCTAGGGCATGGGAGCGGCCTACAGAAACCAATAGCCATGCAAACGCGCATTCCCTCAAAATTCCTCCTCGTCCTCGATCCGTGGATTTCGGATTTCTTCCTCCTCCCCCTCTCGGGGGCGTCCAAGATGGGGGCGTCCAAGAGGGGGGGGGTGCGAATCTTGACCGGCAGCATATTCGCGGCCCAGGGGGCGGCTGGGCAGGCTCCATGAAATCTTCGGAAATATCATGGCCCTCGCCGTGAGATCCGCCCCCCGAGTCGTCGCCCCCCTCTTTGCCGCCCCCGACCCACCTGCCCCCGCAGCAAGCGGCCAGGCGCAGGCCTGACCCTAAACTCGCGCGCTGGTGCGTTCGCACCCCCCTGCTCGACCTCCTCCTCCTCCCCCTCGTCCTCCTCCTCGTCCTCCGTGTTCTCAAAGCAAAAGTTCTGAAGACAATCGTGGAGGGAGGCCTCGCGCGGCAACGTTAGACCCGATGTACGTCAGATCCACGTCGGACTTACGTCGGTGTCACGTCGGACTACGTCGGAATTGCGTCGAACCCTGGAGGCCTCGCGCGGCAACGTGAGACCCGATGTAATTCGGATCCACGTCGGATTTACGTCGGGTTCACGTCGGATCTACGTCGGAATTGCGTCGGATCTACGTCGGACTGACGCAGGAGCATCGCCGCGCGAGCGTCGACCCATAGCTTACGGAGCTGACGTGTGGACCAGATAATACACCTTTTGCGTGCCGCGCGAGGCCTCCAGGATTTTTCCGCATAGCACAGGGATAGTGTTCCAATGCCACAAACACAATTCTTACAGGACAAGGCCGATGAGGTCAAACAGGACGGCCTCAGAGCCAGAAGAGCTCCGAGAACATCTCGTGCAAGCCACGGAAGGTTCCTGGAACATTCCTTGTTGGGCCCATAGGCAAGCCAAGATGGATGGTCAACGTTTTCATATTCAGCATTTCGGCAGTGAGCGGAAGGGAGGGAGAGGGGGGGGTTCTGGCTCCGGACCTCTGCTTCATAGGTCTGCTTGGAGAAGTGCTCCCATGGGGAATCCAGGGGCCGTCCACCTGCTTGAAACAGGCGCCCAAAACAGCCAAGATCTACTCCATCGGCGGGGAGGGGGAGGGGGATGGGTGCCAGGGCCCGCGCCGATCTGCAAAACAACGAACGAAACAACATTCATTGAGCAGGGACCGACCGTCCTGGCATTCCTATATGCCTCCCATGACATGTTCTTAGCAGCCAAAAATGTTCTTAGAACAAGAACAAAGTTCTCAGAACATGAGCCTGGTGTGCTATGTGTTAAATCAAGACAGTCTCAGCCAGCAACGTTCTAAGAACATTTCGTGCAGGCCACATAAGGTTCTTAGAACATTGAACATTCTTCGGTAGGCCTAGATCGATGATCCTCAGAACTTGTGTTACCCCAAACGTGTGTTTGTCCATCGAGGCCTTTCGATACGACGCAGGCGATGCAGTGATCTACTGGTTGTGCTGAAGGGAGTTGAGCTAACACACGTCCCGAGGATCGCCGACTATAGGCGAGCTAAGACGCTTCGCCACTGCTTGAACTCACATGCTTCGCCGCTGCTGGACTCTCGTGGCGGCCGGGTCCTCGCTCTGGGGCGCGAAGGAGAGCGCGGCGCCGGCCGCCGGCCGCGCGGGCGGCGCGGGCCCAGGCGGCGCCGCGGTCTCAGCCAGCGACGGCGGGGCCGGCTCCGAGGGGTCGAGGCCAGCCGCCTCCATTCGCGCCTGCGTCTCTGGGGGGGGGGGCCGCGGGGTCATGCCCAGAGAGCCACCGTATTGAAAACATCGAGATGGAGGTTTTTCGCAAAACTCGGCCTTTGGAGGCCCTCGCCGGGCCGCGGGACCGGTCCGGGGGAATATGGTCGAGACTTCCGGGGACCGCGTATTGAAACAAGCACGACATCGGATCTCTGGGTGTTGCTCCCATCTTATTAAAGGACCACATCCCAAAAATAGTTTCGAGCACCCCGATAAGTATCGAAGCAGTGTCGAACGAGTACCGCCTCTCAGAGCCCGACGCGTGAGAACCCTTTACTTTCGGTACCTTCTTGGTGCTCGAAATTAGGTCTGGTGGTCAAGGCTAAAATACATTGGACCATCATAACTCTGGGGGGGGCCGCGGGTTCGTGTCGCGTCGGCCCCATAGGCTGGTTACTGACGCCGCGGGGATCGTTCGACCTCGAACGATCGGCCGTGTCCGAAACGTCAGAACGTTCAACATCGTCCGATTCGGGGTCGCCGGCGGCGTTCAAGGTCGAACGCCGGCGGCAGGGTCGCCGCCAGTCGGCACTGCGCGAATCCCCCGTTAGTGTGAGCCCAACAGCTATTTCAAAAAGAACCTCTTGTTAATCGGCGATACCTCCCTTTAGTAGACCTCCCCTTAGTGAAAACGGCCTGGGACCGAAACCGACGGACCTGGACCCGCAAAAATGACGGCCGCGACGCCCTCTCGCGAACCGAAAACGGCCAATTCCTTAATCGACGTGTCAGGGTAGGAGGTCTGTCCACCCCCGAGTTCACTATGGCTTTGTTCGGGGCTGCGGTCGGCCGGATGAACGGCCGTCGCTTGTGCTCCCGCTGGTCCTGTGCCGCTTGCCCTTGGCCTTTCCCATCTACCCGCCAAGCCACGTATCCCGCTAAGAAGACCCCCTGAACAGCCATATTCGAGTTTGGGGCCACGACAGATGTTCGAACGGCCCAAAGTCGCCAGAGACCTCCACATCGCGCGAAGAAGAAGGCCTGGAAGCTGAGCAAAGCTGAAACGCCGCAGCCGCCGGACTGGGCCCGGCCTGGCCGGGCCGGGCCAGGCTGGGCCGCGCCGGGCTATGAGGAATCTGCGTGAAGAAGTCGCGGTGAAAAGATCGTGGTGAAAAACCACCCACCTGCGAGCAGCGCCAGCGGGGCCGTGGCCGGGGCCCCGTTGCCAGAGGCCCCCGCGGGGCCGCGGCGCGCGGGAAGGGGGCGCCGAAGCCGCGCGAGCGGCGCCACTGGGGCCTCGGCGGGAGCCCTCTACGAGCCAAGAAGCGCCCGAGGGGCGGCGCGTCGCACGCGGGCAGGGGCGGCGCGCCCGCGCGCAAGCAGCGCGGCTTCGGCGCCACGCGGGCCTCTCGCCGAGGAAAAAAGCGCGACGGTCGGTTTTTGGCATGGCCCGGCGTCTATGAGGGTCCCTTGCCTGGCGCGGGAGCGTCAGACAAAACCGGCTCAGGATGAGACGCCACTCCTGGCGGGGGGGTCCAGGCCTCCAGGGGACCGGGTGATCACGACGTCGGAGTTTTGGGAGTGCGGGCGCCCCTCTTCGCCACGGAGCTCCTCCTGACGTTGGCCATGCCAGAAGCGAGGCTTGCAGCGTTCTGGTGGCAACTGATGCCATGAACAAGAATACCGACTGAACGCAGTGGTGTAAGCAACTTAGGGGGAAGGCCCATGCGGATCAGGAGCTTTCAAGAGTTAAAAGCAACATCGGAATGCCAAAGGGCTAGGGTACTCTGGGCTTCTTGATAAGCGTAGGGGGGTACCCCCCTGACGGGGGTCAACCTCGCCTCGTCGTCGCGCCGCGACGGGGGTCGGGTCGCCTTCGGCGCG